TTGGCGCCAGGGAGGCCATCGTGGATGGGGGCCAGGGGGTAGGCGCCATCGGAGCCGTGGGCCACTGGCCAGGGCTCCCCATCCCCCTTCTGCCCGTTAACCGGCCCGAAGGCTCCATCCCCGTAGCCACTCAGCGCCGGGCGCTCGTAGGGCGCGTCCAGCACCCCCGAGTACTTCTCGGCGTACCTCTTGAGGAGGTTGGAGGCAGTGAGTGCGGAGATGTCGTCGTTGGCCCAGGCGTAGTTGAAGCGCTGGCGGGTGCTGGGGTAGAGGTCGGACTTGTGGGCCGGTGAGGAGGTGGTGGAGGAGACATCGAGGTGCTGCTCCGGCCACTGGTTCAGGGACTGGGCATGCTCTGGTGACCAGTGCATCTTCGACAGACCTGGGGGGGACAGGACAGCGCAGGGTGAGACCACTGAAACAGGGGCGAGCACCTCTGCACTGAGTATCTCCTGTCCTTCTGGACCACACACTGCACCTCCTGACTGCAAATGCATGCTCTCAATTACCCGCCTCCCGTGCAAAAATCCCCTTGGCCACCAACGGTGCAAATATCCCCCCAAATATAACAGCAGCCACCAGTGCTTCAGAGAATCCAGACAGCTCAGGTTTTGACGGTCACGTCGTCCAACAGACTAAAATATTCCAGTTATCAAACCACGGCAAGCCAAGGCAATACAAATGGTGCGGTCCCCCCAGTACCTTCGGCAGCGCTGTGGTGCCAAGCATCGGCACACATCGCTGGAGAACCCTGCCCTGAGATGTTCCACCTGGAGCAGGGTATAATTATAATAGTAATAGCATATTAATAGCATGTAGGCTGGGAAATAAGGGCTGCATTGCCCACACATGCACGCCTGCACGTGGGAAGGTGCCCTTCACCCCGGGCTGAGTGTAAGCCTTTGCCGGCGTCCCTCTGGCATCGGTGCCGGTACCAACGGGCTGTGCCTGGCCCCACCAAAACACCTTCTCTGGGGCAGGGGAAGGCAGAAACACCATGGCCGTGTCTGGACCCACCCCTGCACCAGGGCTGCAACGGCGGTGGGTGGGAAACTCATCCTGGGGGCTCTGCAGGACCTGCCGGCGGTCCCCACTCACCCCACAGACCCCACGTCACCGTCCCCACCATGACTTTGTCACCCCCCCGGCTCTGCATCATGGGGATGCTGAGGTCTGCATCACCCTCTCTTGCTCCAGCCCTTGAAAACCGCATGTCCCCCGAGCGCCCGCAGAGGGTGGTGGCAGTGTCCCCCATCACACCCCCCATGCGGGTCCCCGTCTGTCCCCCCGCCCTCATGCCCAAAGCCCCGGGGGACAGCTACAGTAGGAGCCTGGAGGGGACCTCGTGCACCGTCCCCTCGCCTCCCTCAGCCGTTAAACCACTTTGTGACCACAGCACAATTAGATTACTTAATGCTTTAATTGACTTATATGGCATTTGTACTTCCACTTTGGATATCAAACTTACACAAGAGGATTTAAATGGCAGCTTTGCGTGGCTTTATCCGGCATCCTCCCTGCATTTACTGGCCATTATTAAAGTGCTCCCAATAGATAACTGCTCAGACAGAGACAGCCAAGACAGCCTGCGGGAAAGGGCCCCGTTTAATGAACACAAAGGAGAATGCTGCCCAATAAACCTGCGCTCCTGCAGCAGCTTTTCCCCAAGCCGTACGGGGGTCTGGCTGGGCGCAGAGGGACAGAGCTTTTTGCCTGTGAGCAAAAGGCACTGAGAAGCTATGAAAGGGAAAAATGAGGGTTTGGAGGACTCCAGGAGGAATAAGATACTTTCTTTTTTAATTTTGGTTGAGTTTTTTTTGGAAGGAACTAAAGCACCAGGAGTTTCCATCCCTGCATCGCTGCACAGTGTGCTGCGGGTGCAGACTGTAGCTCCTTCTGCTCCCCCAAAAATATAGTCTGCAAACGCCCGGGGCTCAGGGAGGAGAGGAAAGCGGTTTGGGAGACACCTGGGATGTGGCCCATTGCCTCAGCCTCCGCTGTGGCACAGGGCTTGGTGCAGAGCAGCACAGAATTACGTGCCACCACCATGACCGGCAAATCCCAGTGACATTTCATACAATCATCGCATCATGGAATGGTTTAGGCTGGAAGGGACGTTGAAGATCATTGAGTTCCACCCCCTGCCCTGGGCAGGGACACCTCCCACCAGCCCAGGTTGCTCCAAGCCCCGTCCAACCTGGCCTTGAACACCTCCAGGGATGGGGCAGCCACAGCTTCTCGGGGCAACCTGCCCCAGGGGATCACCACCCTCACACCCAACAATTTCTTCCTCAGTTCTCATCTCAATCTTCCCTCTTTCAGTGTCAAACCATTCACCCTCATCCCATTGCTCCCCTCCCTGATCCAGAGTCTCTCCCCAGCTCTCCTGGAGCCCCTTTAGGCACTGGAAGGGTCTCTGAGCTCTCCCCTTTTTCGCCTTCTCTTCTCCAGGCTGAACCCCCCCAACTCTCCCAGCCTGTCCTCCCAGCAGAGGGGCTCCAGCCCTCGCAGCATCTCCGGGGCCTCCTCTGGACCTGCTCCAGGCTGTTTCTTCTGAAGCTGTTCTTACGAGGCACGGACACCCTCACCCATCCCTCCTGGAGAAGGGAGGACGCAGCAGCCCACCACCCAAGCAACTCAACGTCCATCTTCTCCTGCAATACAGCATCCACTGGCGTGAGCTTCACACCCTGAGGACACAACCCCTGCATGCCAACGCTCATTTCTCTGAGCAGCCGCCAGCTTTTCCCCACAGCAGGACTAACGCCTGAACCCCGCTGCTAAAAACTGGTGTCTACAAATAAGCACGGGGATGGGAGTTGCTCTTCTAAGAGGGTGGCCAACACCGCAGTGAGGGGCTGGAAGCCCACCGTCACGGCACAGGCTGGGGCTGCTCCTCCAGCCCCATCCTCCTCCAAATGGGTGAAGCCGCTGTGAGACGAGGGGCAGGGGGGGGGCCCGGCCCGGGGG